TTGCAGCTCCTAAGAAAATGCTGAATTCTGTTCTTTGGTTATAACTGGGAAGCATACTGGACCACTCAAATTTTGTTTCCAGAAGCACAGATGTGACATGTTGGCGCTAGAGTGCCACCATCTGCACAAACCAATCAATGGCAATAGACCGGTTGCGGTACATTTTGTTAAGGGATTATATTAAAGCCTCACGGTGTTGTTGCATATATCTACTGCCACCAATCAGCAGATATATGCAAAAACATTAAAAAAAGTTAACAAAAAGGTTATTACTTACCTCTGTCTCCGCCGCACACTCCCGTCCAAAGATCTGAAAATTCTCGGGAGGCCGCAAAGGATCATGGGGCAGGCGCAGTAGCAGATCCTCGGCCGGGAGACGAGGAGAGACAGAAGGTAAGTCAATGGAGGCAGCGTGCACCCGCCCAGACTCAGTGAGACAGGAAAAGACAGTCAGCGCTGGATCAGAGACCGGCACCAGTGCTGGAGGGATTCCTGAAAATTACATGAAAGAAGAAGATCGGATCAAGAGGCATCATTTAAGGTAATTTCTTACACCAGCAATGGGGGCGGGGGGGGGCTTTAATGCCTGACATCAAATTTGTGAATTAAGGGGGGGAGGTGATGTTCTAATAGGTGGTGACAAAAACACAACTCTGTTGCAATGTGAATCTTTTTGGATACATTCCCTGCAGATGGTGGCACTGAGGGGCCTTCACACCATGGTGTTACTTCTGTGCTTATGACCTGTGTAGCAGTGCGTGGCAATGCCAGGGTGTGTTTTGGCAATATAGTCACCCAGGTCTCTCAGCCATGGGGGGCGGAGCAGTTCCAGAAAGTGCAAACGTTTACTGGGAAAGAGCTGGCTTTGCAGTTCTTCCCAGGTTTTCCTGATTTGGCTTGGGTTCCTGGAACTGGGAGATTTCAAAGAGCATTGGGAGGGATGAAATCTCCATTCCTGGGTCCAGGCTTTATTGGCAGCCAGCACCTGATTGTGCACCTGTGTGCATCCCTCATGAGGAGGGTGCTGGAGTGTGTTCAGGGCTCCTGCTGGGAAGAGGGACAGGTGGTGTCTCGGAGTCAGGCGGACTCCACCCAGAAGGCTGTGTATGTGTTGGAGGCTGGAAGGCCTAGAGAGGCTGAGAGAGCCAGGCACCCAAGGTGTATGGGTGAGAAATCAAAGGCTGCTGAAAGCTGCTCAAAGTGCCCAGTGTATTCCTGAAGAGATCCTGTTGAGGAAAACAGTAAGGTCCTGGGACTGGGACACTGAACAGGATAACCTGTGAAGGGTGAGCATTGGTGAGCCCATATCTGTTATATGCTGCAGCAAGCTATTTATGTTGGACTTCCTTTACTGTCTGCCTTTTGAACAGAAAATAATGACGTTTTGTTAATGGAAAAGCCTGTGCGAGTGCTCTGTGAGCTCCCCAATATCACACCTGCTATGTTTTTGATTTATTTATTAATGTTTTCTTAATTTTTTTGTCACTTATGTCCTGCGGGATCCCCTTTTTTCCCACCTTCTCACTCTTTCTCAGCAATGTCACTGTGTAATTTGGCAAAGTAGTCACCCCTGACTCTTAAGGCCGTGACACGCTGCACGCAAAGCCGTGCAGAGCGAAGCAAAGCTATCCGGCACGGAGCTTTGCGTGCAGTTTGTGAGCGGAGTGCAGTCAGATGATTGACAGCACCTTCAGCCAATCGGCTCGTCCGTAACAACCTGCCAGCTGTCGCATCGCGACGCGCTGGTTTATACGCGTGAGCCGATTGGCTGAAGTTAAAATTGTTCATCTCGGCACGCTCAGCTCCGCGAGCTCTCGCAAGCTGAGGTGCCGAGCAGAAAATTACATGACACACTGCTCGCAAAGGCAGCGCGCCCCCGCTCTGCGCTGCTTCGCGTGCAGTGTGTCACGGCCTTTAGCCAGAGAGGCTGAGCGGTTCCAGAAAGCAAATACTTTTACCGGTAGAGAGCTGGTTTTGCAGTTCCTTCTAGGTTTTCTGGATTTGGCCTGGGATCCTGGAACTGGGAGATTTCAAAGAGAATTGGGAGGGATGCAATCTGCATTCCTGGGTCCAGGGCCGTCTTTGCCGCAGGGCAAAAGGGGTAGCTGCCCCGGGCCCCATAAGTTACAGGGGCCCACAGCAGCTGTCCCTTTCATCTGGAGCAGCAGGCAGGAGCAGCGACACCACTGGTAGCAGGGGCGGACTGGGCTGGGGACTAACAGCATGTTGACAGCCAGGACCGGCACTAGCTTAGCTTGAGGGAGGCGGTAATTGGCAGGTGATAGAGAAGAGCAGCCGAGACGGAACATCAGACGGTGAAGTTGCTTGTACATGCTGGGAGTGGCCGAAGCTGTGCTCTTCTCTGCCTGTTGTCTGCAGCTCCAAAAAGCGGAGCGCCTGGCTGGCAGAGGAGGATGATGTTGCTGGGAATGCAAAGGGGAGCGCGGCTTGGGGGAGGGAAGGAAGATGCTTGTTGTCCTGTTGAATGTATTGTTTTGCAGAGTCCTGTTTATTACATTAGAGTTCTGTTTATTACATTACAGAGTCCTGCACTTATTGCATTGCAGAGTCCCGAGTCCATTGCGTTGCAGACTCCCGAGTCCATTGCGTTATTACAATGAACCTTATATATATATAAATTATTTTTGAGTTTCTTTTGGTGGGAGATAATGTAGGTAGATACGGGGGTCTGGGTTGGGAAGTGGGGGGCAGGTGATGGAGGTGGGAGGGTTGTGGGGGCCCTTTAGCAAAATCTTACGGCCCAATTAATATTAAAGACGGCCTTGCCTGGGTCCATGGTTTATTAGTGGCCAGCACCTAATGATTGCACACCTGTTCATGACTCCACCTGGGAGACAGGATGACTACACCCAGGAGTCAGAGTGGAGTCCAGTGCAGCATGGAGCTGCAGATTGCATACCAAGTGTGCTGGTTAGCACGATACTGAGGCTGTCTGGAGGAAACAGACAGTGACCTGAGGATTGAGGCTGGAGCAGTAATGCTGCAAGAGAAAAGCCAAAAGGCTTGATGTGCATATCTTTGTGTTGCCAAGAGATGTTGAAGAACCCCTGCAAGGGTAACTGCATTGTTATATATACACACACAATGTTTTTTTCTGGCGGTACGCACCGGTATGCACCTACCACCAGCCCTTTAGTTTTTTTTTGCGGCAAACTTTATCACCCGCGCGGGGTGATGGCGCTTGTCTGTCGCCGTGTCCGTACACTTGCCATACAGACATGTGTCCATACGGCAAGTATGCAGACACAGCACCAGAAGACAAGCATCATCACCACACCCAGGGTGATGACACTTGTCTTTGGCGCCATTTACCACTGTAGCGTTCACCCCGAAAGAGCCGCCAGAACAACCTGGGTCATCACCAGTCTGTCTAGGGGTTTTTGGTCTTCAGCTGCCCTTCTAGTGCTCACAGAACTGACATCCAAGCCAAAAGTATAATGCTGAAGAACTTTTATTAACATCTTGACACTGGGGAGAGAGGGTATAGGGATCTCAGACATCCAGGGTAGCACAGACGTCGGCTCCAGACTCACCAGTCCCCTTTAGTATCTCAGTATAGATCCATTTGTAGCACAGCAAATAGGAATTTGAATAGCAGATGAGAAGGGATAAGCACAGATCCTCAACAGAAGAGACTCCAGACTCGCTCCTGAGGTCCGCTATGTTCCGGGCACCTCCAGTAGCCATTAGCTTCCCTGGTTCTCCTCCTCTGGCAACAGCACAGGTCTCCTCCATACGTGAGGCCTAGCCAAACACTTCCCGCACTCCAGCATCCCCACCCCCAGGCCTAATCTGGACAGCAACCCAACCTGCAATAATCCATGGCTGGTCCAAACTGAGCACATGGCAATTCCCTCGAGTGTATAAGCACTTAGCCAACATACAACACTGGTTTAGAGAACCCAGTGATTAGCTGGTGAACTGCACACACACTCACTGTGCCCCTCATTGGCTGTCCCACAATGCAGCAGAGTCGCACTCCACAGGCAGGCACAATCAATGCCAGAACACCTGGAATTAACCAGATAAATGCCAACTATAATTCAACCAGACTGTCATTACTACATTTCTAGTAGCTACCTCACAAAAAGTGATGAGGGCTACACCACCAAAAAGATGGCCAATGACAATAAACGTCATTGCTGGTGGCAATCTTGCACATGCAACCACAACCACAACAAAATGACCCCTGGCACTAAGGTTTATTGTTGGTGGCCATCATAGTTGTTGTAGCGGGGACGCACTGCGCATGCGCACATGGGCAGTGCATCCCTGCCCACAAAAAAGATGGCTTTAAGAAAAGCCAGAAAAGCTTTAAGTAAATCTATCACTTTTTTTAAGGTTTCAATAGAGTATGGAATAGTTATTCCCCTGTCAGTTTTTTTCCTGTATGTGTCCCTTTGGGAAGCTTTCTATACACTGCCTGTCCCATAGACAAAACAGGAAGTTATAAGAGATCTAATCAAAGTGAGGGAAATTCGCTCCTAAACAGTTGTCACCACAGGTATCCCCATTGGATGACCTACCCTCTATTTCTGTTGAGTAACATCCCAACATTTTGAATTTTTTCTCACTTTAAGTCCCAGTAACTATGGTTACCTGGACACATAGAGAGAGTGATTCTCCTTAACAGGAACCCAGACAGGGGTACTAACTTGAAAACCAAAATTTTAAAACCAAACTACTTTTAGAAACTTCTGTGAAAGATGTTCCCACTCCTCATAATTACTTATCCACGAGATTAGTGGTAGGCAGTCCTAGAAAGGTGGAGATCTACCTGAACAACATGGAAAATATCAAAGATATGCAGGGTGTATTTTTTTTTTTTCTCAAGAAGATAACCTGGCCCTATTAAAATATAAGCAAGACATGAAAAATTTGGGGTCAGTAGTAAGTAACAAAGAATTCAGAGTCAGGAGTAAGTAGCATAGAGTGCAGGGGTCAAGAATAAGTCATGCAGAGTGCAGAGGTCAATAGTAATGCAGAGTGCCAAGGTCAATAGTAAGTAAGGCAGAGTGCAAAGATCAATAGTAAGTAAGGCAGAGTGGAAAGGTCATTAATAAGGGAATGCAGAGTGTAGGGGTCAGGAGTAAGTATTGAAGATTTCTGAGGTCAGTAGTAAGTAATGCAGAGTGCAAAGGCCTATAGTAATGTAGAGTTCAGCGGTCAGTAGTAAGTAATGCATAGGTAAGTAGTAAGTAACGCAGAGTGTAGGGGTCAGGAGTAAGTATTGCAGAGTGCAGAGATCAGTAGTATGTAATGCAGAGTGCAGGGGTCAGTAGTATGTAACACAACGTTTAGAAGTCAGGATTAAGTAATATTAGAGTCTTGCAATGCCTCATATCGTTTCACAACAGCTGGAGTTGAAAGCTTACACATATAGAAAAGAGGAAGCATGAGACATCTATTGAAAAAGCGTTCAAGCTGTGGAGTGATGTCACCCCCCTGACTTTCACCCGAATTTATGATCAAACCTCTGATATCGAGATTTCATTTGAAGCACAAGGTTTGTTACTTAAAACTTAGTATTTGACCCTCTTTTGTATATATGGTTTTTTTTCTAGTTTTATTATATATATTTTTTTAATTTTAATTTTGTTTTAATACATTTTTGTTACAGGAATAAATATCATATAGTAGTTATATGATTAACTATTTCCTGACGTGCTCTTCTTTTTTCTTTTGATTAGGCTACTGCCGTTGGGGATTTAAAGCAAACATTTCCATTCCCCAAGCATGTACAATAAACATAGTGGTAACCTTTAAATCCATGAACTGTTCCAAATATACTTCTTATAACACTGTGACTACTAATGTGCAAACAATGTGCCTCATCTTTAACCACTCCCCCTGCTCACTGACATATGCAGAGAGCAATAAAACCTGATTGTCATGGAATGGTCAGTTTGGGCTGTGGCTAACAGTCAGGCTTCACCTTCTTTTTTTGTGTGAGAGGAAAAATGTTTGGTCCCCCATTGGGGAGTAACTGGGTCTTAGACATCAAGCTGGAGCAAAGTTTCTATTAAAAGATTGAATTTATCAATCAATCACAGCTCCAGGTGTAAGTGCAACTTTACTGCAGTGCAACGCATGTTATTGCAATACCGCACTGCCCTGGGACTTAACTGAATCTATCAATGTGAAAAAAATACATGTATTACAAATATATTATCCATATTAAAGAATCTATTAAACTTTTTAAAACGGAGGCTTAGCTGTTTACCGAGCATATTGGTACATACATCCTATGTACAAAAGTATTACAAACTATTTGTAGAAATGTGTGACATCCCATTCTGTGTGAGAGGAAAGATGTTGGTCTCCAAAGAGGAAATAATTGGGTCTCGAGGTTTTTGAGTTTTTGTTCACTGATCCATTCATGAGTTGTTCATAACACGAATAGCATTTGGCAGCAGTTTCTGTAAACATTAGCAAAGGAAAGAGTCACACCACACCAGAAGATATTAAAAAGTAAAGACAAGGCAGTAATCATTATTTGTATTCGCACAGGCCACGGTGACTTCTTCTCATTTGATGGTCCAGGAGGTACATTGGCACACGCTTATGCCCCGGGAGATAGAATAAGTGGTGATGCCCACTTTGATGAAGATGAAACATGGAAAACTACATCTCCTGGTAGCTTTCTGCATTCTCTTACCTGTGGTTTAATATCACCTCCAATAATCCAAAACAATACTCTAGAATGTCCGTAATGGATCACTATGATGGTGTGGAAAAAAGACCAATTACAGCTATCTTATCTCCCACCACCCTCCAGTTCATTACCACTTCCGACTCCTCTTTCCCAAGCATTCTTTCCCTAATTTTGTTTTACACATTTCTTATCTCAGCTGTCTTTAATCCAGTCACATGACACTCATAGTTCTCTTTCTCTTCTTCTATCCTCCAGTGGTGTAGGGTCCTGAATGCTACAGGAAATGGTGCTCATATTTCCATGTGGTACTTTTTTCTGCAGCATTCTTTTCTGCGCCTACGGTGCCTCTTCGTTGAACCCAAGCTCTTTGCAACCTGGAACTTAGGTGCATTCCCATACAGTTCCAGTGAGTTAAATGACATCTATTGTAATTCAACCGCCTTCCCGTGAGCCCAGGGTTCTATGGACCCACCCCTTAAGGATGAGCTCAGGTTGGATCTGAACCTGAGCTCATGCAAACCCAGAAGTTAGGCATCAGTGCACGACCAATCAATTGCGGCCACACGTAATCAAAGGAACAGGGTGACATCATTGACCTAATGTGGCCATATAAGGTCAATGTCATGACAATCTTGACACCCTGGCCTTACAGGAAGGGGGTTGAATGACAATGGATGTTATTCAACCGGGAATAGGATCAGCTTTGGACCTTGGAGAAGGACTTGTAGGGAAGCATTCGAGCATAGACTAGAGAGGGTGAGTACTACTTGGAAAACATTTTTTATACTGGAGAGGGATCTATGATAAAAATTTAGACTTGAGTACAAGCAAAACAAAAGGGACAATAAGTGGACATGTAAGTAAGAAACTCTCAGATGCTTGCTTGCATTTCCTCACCTGCTTTACAAAATGACAGCTGTCATCTGACTGGATGCCGTAGGTTATACAGGTAACCCACAGTAAGGGAAATTTATCAAAGCTGGAGAAGACAAAGTGTGGAGTTGTTGCCCAGGGCAACCAATCAACTTCTCTCAAGTTTGTTCAGTTAAGATTTTAAAATGGCAAAGAGAAGTTGATTGGTTGCTGTGCAAAGCTGTTCTAGGTTTTGTCTGCTCAAGTTTTGATAAATTCCCTTCAGTGTCTTTTATTCTAGTTTCTTCATGTTGTAATCCGCCACAATGTACAAAATACAGTTTGTGAATAGGCCCTAAAGTCCAACTCCACAATTTTTTTTTACCTTCATTCTCGCAAGATCCCTGAAACCTCCTCACTGAAGCCTCCCTCCACACCACTTTTTTTAATCTCTATATATACCTTAAGGGCCTATTCACACTTTTCTGTTTTTAAGCAGCAAAACTCTTGAATTTTCCTGCATAAAACACGTCAAGTAGAAATCCCATTCTTTTCTATGGCTGGTTCACATAAATGTGCTGCAGTTTGGCCTGAATGAGAAAGGGAAACTCTGTGGGCCAACTTACACCTAGACGTGTGCATTACCACTTGTACTGCATGCACACGGAACAGTATAAATCCAGCCTTACTTCTGCAATCTTGTGATGTCACAGGTCCTTCCTCAACTCTTCCAGTGGTGATGATGGGCAGTCCTTACTCCTCAACAGAAGTCCAGAAGTACTTTGAGCCCAGACTAGAGAGATGATGCATCCTCAGAGGATGTGTGCATGATGACCTGGGAGCACAGGAAGTGGGTTTAATGGTGCTTGGCATCATTCAATCTGGAAGAGGACGAGCACTAGATTGGAGAATAGTGACACAGCACTGGAGAGGAGGTGCATATTGCAGCAAGAGCAGTTCTTTACATCCTGCACTGCTGGGTCACTGATCTAAAAATACAATAAGAAAAGTGGACTTGAGCTTTAACTCCATTTTTGTTCTCTATCTTTGTACAAAAAAATTATCTCCGTGTTAGTTGTATGTAACTCATTTCTCTCCTGTATTTCTGTGAGAGGGACTTAGCTGACATTTAGCATAGTGCTACAGTGATGAATAAATCTCTTTGGTACAAGGAGATATAACTAGTTGTTGGCAGTGTCCTCATTTGCTAATGAGATGACGGGCAACATGGGCAACAAGAAGTTAAATCTCTCAGTAATCACCAGTGTAGCCCTAGACCTATTTGTTAGGGTTTTTGCACACTGCTGTGGAATATACGAAACCAAGTTTTCTCTCGTGCTCTTTATTTAAAGGTTATAACTTGTTCCTTGTCGCTGCCCATGAATTTGGCCATTCCCTTGGACTTGATCACAGTGCAGATTCAGATGCCTTGATGTTCCCAATCTACAAATATGTTGAGCCCGGTCAATTTCATCTTCATGCAGATGACATTAATGGAATTGTCTCCCTGTACGGTAAGATTTCTGGACAATGGAAAAGTATTGCTGTCGGGGTTCTCTGTATAATAAAGAAATCAATTCAGTGAAAGCCATCGAAATAATTTCAAATACCATACATGGGGACTGATGTATAAATGTTCCACCCAGAGTAAAGCATTTCCGCCATCTAGTGACCATACGAATATGCTGTGAGGAACGTTAATATATCAGCACCTTGGTCTCAGTTTAGCCAACATTGAAGTTCAGTGGCAGAATGATCACAGTTTACACAAAGATAACCCTGCAGTAGGCAAAGGAGTTTAATAGGGGTGGTTTAGGTATTTACAATGTTGCTGACTAAACAGTGATACAGCGGCTCCTCTTGACCCTAGTATCCAGCAGGTATAAAAAAAAAACGAGAAATCTAAGAACCTCTTATTTTGGTGATTTGGTGCAGTAAACTTGTCCGCGTCAGTAGGCTGTGATGTGCTTCTAAGAAAGGTTTCCCCCCCCCCCCCCCCCCAAAAAAACAAAACAAATTATAGGTATATAGAAATAAAATATACCTCCCCCAAAAACCTAAAACACTAAACCCCAGACATTAAACCTAAAACACTATAACTCCTAACCCTTTGTTTTTTTTAAATGATGTAGAAAAACTCCATAAAACACCCCTAAAAAAGACATGGGGGGGGCAGCAGCTAAAGAGCAACAGATGTTGTTTGCTGACACAAACAAAATGTAGTCCTAAAAAGGACTGTTGGGTCTCTGTATTGTGAACACAATGGGTGTTACACTGCAATGCAGTTCAGAGTATAGGAACACTGGAAAGCACAGTGAATACGGGGGGAAGAGGAAAGGAGGATTATACTCCAATCTCCCCATCCCACCACACTGCAATTCACTGTAATGTAACAGTGGCAATATACAGCACTGTGCAGCTCTATAGGTAGATTTACCAATCCCCATTATGGATCATATTATACCACCTGATCACAGTTTCAGGTCTGGCAAGACATTATGAGGTTCTGCGTTTGGCACTTAGGCAAACTTGCCCATAACTTCACCTGTCAGGCAAACAGCGAACACAGAACATTTGCGTGAATCCTCCACAGCCACAGACAAAAACCCCATCGCTGGACACCACTATTTCCTTTCTACAGTCAGTAATGGTAACAAGTGAAAAATGGTGTCATTCCAAGTAGTATGGTAACAAGTGGAAAGTGGTGTCATTTGTCTGGCCATCCCCTGTTGCAGAGCTGTGTAAATCTCAGAACTGGATGAACAGATATACTAGTTGAACAGTTCCCATATATGTATTTCTTCTGTGTATTTAGAAGAATTGCACTTTTTGTTTCCAGCACAGTGGCTCAGCGGTAAGCGCTTTGTAGCACTGGGAGCCCTCAGTTCAATTATCTGTGTGGAGTTGTTTTTTCTGTCCCCACCTCCAAATTGGCCCTGACATCTATAAATATAGCATGCATATTTAATAATTGGTTCAAATACATGCAGGCCAATCTGTATGTGTGTATATGTATGTATGTATATACTATGGGGTTTATTCACGAAGCTGGCGAGGGCAGCCGAGTGAATGACCGATCTGAAGTGAAGTGAGCCGAACACTGTTCGGCCATTTTACAGTAAAATAAAAACAAGTTAGAAAGTTAGACGGCATTTTTATTTACTTTATTTGTATTCATTTTATTAGATATCTATGGATCCAAGTTAACCAGGAATCTCAAGCGGAGCCTCTTTACATTGAGAGCAAAGGCCAGAGGTCACTAAACAACATTGAAGCCGCATATGAGTATTCAGATGATGAAAATGATCTGATTGTTCCTTCAAAGGTATTGTTAACACAGTGGCGGACCTAATAACCAAAGGGCCCTGGTGCAAGATTTTATCTTGGGCCCCCCTCCCAAGATGGGGGGGGAGGGGGGGCGCGGTGAGCGGATTACACTGGCCCCCGACCCCCCAGCAGTCTCTAATGTTGCAGTAGCGTTCTGGACTTACCTGAGACCCTGCAGAGCACACCATAGATCCTGCATAGCCCACCTGAGACTCTCTACGGTGGACTCTGCAGGGTTCCAGGTGGGCTGGGCTGGTCGTCGGGGTGCCTTTCCCTGTACCTCCTTCCAACTCTTCTTACCTGCTGCTGCTGGGGCCCGGCCCCCTCCACCCCCTCCCCTGTCACCTCTGCCATGCCGCCCCGGTACAGTTGATACCCATGTAAGAGGTCCCCCATGGGTATCGGCCAAACTGATCCATAGTGAATAGCCGAACATCATTTGGCTCATTTCACCTCGCCTGGTTTATTCACTCGGCTGCATTCGCCAGCTTTGTGAATAACCCCCCTATTGTCTTTGTTCCTTAAATGCAAACATTCATTAAATGATAATAAAATGTATCTAAAACCTAAACTTTTTTTTTTTTTTACAGGATTATTCACAAAAGGGTGAAGAGTTGGAGAAGGCAGGAGAAGAGAACAATCTAGGACAATATAGCTGATTTGGAAAAATTATTCAATTTAGCTCACTTTCCAGTTCAGCTATGTTGTCCTAGATTGTTCACTACTCCTGCCTCTTCCAAACTCTTTTGTGAATAACCCTGTTGGTTTTGGATGAAGTGGAGTTGAGGTATTAGTACCTGTTGGAACTTCTAGCACAGCCTCACGGAGAAACACAAGCACACAGTCTGATATGCATGCTGCACATGGCATGGCATACCTTATTCAATACAACAGAGTATCTACCATAGATATAACAGAACTTATAAACACTGCCATCTAGTGACCAAAATTATATACTGCAGGAGTTATTGCTATAAACACAATAATGTGTATTCTAACAGTACCTCTGTTGGGTATTGCTGTCTTCTTTCTGCTTCTCTGTCATTCTTGGTGACCACTGCCACTGGGACTGAAAGTGAAAAAAAATAAAAAATTGTCACCAGAACAGAAGTAAAGCAAATGTGCTTCCTCCTCCAGTTGAAATGACCCCTAATCCTAAATCACCAGTTAGTTGATGTATAGAAGCTTGTTTTTATCCTGTGCATACCTCCCAAAGTTCTGAGATATGAAAGAGGGATGCCTTTTAACACAAAGTGGAAGTACAGAGAACACACCCCTGCCATGTCCCCAGTTGCATGGGCCATAAAGCGTTCATAAGTGAGCAATGATTGACTGAACCCAATAGTGCGTTTTTACACTACTACTTCCTTTCTTGGCTTTTCCATATAACAGAGGCCATAATTTAGAGGTTGGATGACTTTAGAGTAGTATAATACTTTGTATAGTTACATGGTGCATTTTGTAATTTACTTTATTTTATTTAGATTATGTTTTTTTTTTTTATAAACTCTTGAAAACAGTTTACCCATAGCTCCCAACTATCCTTGATTTGGAGGGACTGTCCGTCTTTTTGCAACTAAATCCCTCTGTCCTTCTTTACTCCTCAGTTGTCTCTCTCTTTGTTTTGCTGCACAGATCTAATGTATCTAGACCAAAAACCTAAAGCATCAGATCAAAAAAAGTCACGACTGAGGAGTTGTTCCCTTCTCACTTGATCCCAGTTGATGCCAGCTTCTCCTGGACTCTTTCTGGGTCTGGCATTGTCTTTGTTCAAATGATCTGGTGACAGAGTCTCTTTATCCTGGGTCAATTGTTGCCTGGTGGTATGCACCTACTATATGTATCACATATATTTATAGAATATGATTAGACACGTTTTTAAAATTAGCTTTTAGAACAGAAGTCATATTCTAAGTAAATAATCAAACCCAACATTCATGTCTTCATAGGCAGGAAATACTGGATTATAAATGATGGTGATCTTGCAAAGGATTTGCCTAAGGACATTTCCCAGCTGGGCTTTCCTGACAGTATAAAGAAAATTGATGCTGCCGTCCACAATAAACGTACAGGAAAAACCTACTTCTTTAAAGGGGATAAATACTGGAGGTAAAACTAGTAATAAAACATAAACATTATACAAAATAATGAACTTATTGTTTGATTACAAATTGAACCCATATTGTTTACATACTATTAAAAAAAAAAAAATGATAAATGATCTTACTTGCAAGACTATTTACTAACAATGTTGGTCCAAAAAACATTATTTGGTAGCAAAACAATCTAACGCTAACAAACTATTCACTTATTTTTGTGTGGATGAGATATCTATTTGGCTCCCTACATATTTTGGGCCCATTCCCCCCTAAGTGAATTTAAAAGCAATTTGAAGCTTTACCAGGAGAGCTTTAACACTCGACACAAGGAATTCCATTATATTCAGTGGTGACCATTTATATTCAGTGGAGGTTGAACCTTATTGCTTGCAAAAAGTGCATGAGCTTCTTTTGGGGCAAAACCGCATGTTTTGGCCCAAACAGAGTTCAATGGGAGCACCTGAAAAATATGCATAACATGTTGGGAGATGTTTATTAATGCATTATCAGTCTGGGGCATCAAGCTATGGAAATTTAACATAGAGACTGGGGAGTTGTTCATTATGTGGCCTAGCTACAGGCTAATGCAGTGATATTTTAATTTTGAAATGTTTCTCTAGTTATGATGAAGAAAAGCAGAAAATGGATGCTGGATTTCCAAAACTAATGTCTACAGGTTTCCCTGGTATTGGAAAGAGAATTCTATCTGCTTTTGAAAAGAATGGTAAGTAATCACTATAAAGACAGTTTGTTTGGCTTCTTTTGGCAAATGCAGAATATAGGTTGTAAAGCAATTATAATCTTATCAATTGCTATCTGCAACCTACCTAGCAAAAGCCATGGTAAGCTTCTATGCCATAGGAACAGATGATGGAGCCCACACTGTAACCCCCTGCTCCTGTACTACTATATATAAAGCTAGCAATGGCACCGGCATTGAGGACAGGGGTTTGGGGTCAATTTTACTTTGAATATTTTTTTTAATATTCCAGATATATCTTAATCCATTAAAGGGTTGAGGGGACAGTATAGACAGCCAACATATTTGGGGGCTCATACAAATACCCCATTAATCAGGGCTTACTAAGGGAGAACATAAATCAGCACTGTTGTGGCTTGAAAATGTTTTTTTTTTCCATGTTTTGTCCAGTGTGTGAGAATGCATAGAACATTCTACAGCTGATTCGGCAGCCTATTCACCAGTTAATCACTTGTGTGTATAAAGCTTAGCTTAAGCTACTGAGGTTTGAAAATAACAGGCAACAGGAGGTAAGGACACATTTGGCCCAAGTGCTGAAAATTAGAATATAAAATATTAATATAGACTATTTCATATTCTTCTAATAAAACAAAATATTTTTCCCTGACCATAGTAAAGAAAGAAAGAAATATATATATAAAACCACTCTACTCTATAGTCAGTAGTGAGATTGACATTGCCCTGCTGTTGAATTGAAGTCTTATGAGTAAAGTACAAGCAACTTCTTCATGAAAAGTATATTCATGTTTTAAAGTAGGGGAACAGACAAAGTGTGTATAGGCCCTCAATAAGTATGGAGCTGCAGCTCCTCCTTCCCATCTGAAACTAACTCACCAATTTTAGAGACAGTCAGGCTTAGAGTCTTTATGATTTACAAGTGAAGTAAAGAGGGTACCCTGTCAAAGTGTCAAATATGATAGGTCAAATATCTTACAAGAAGAGGGATTGTCATTGTTAAACGCTCCTCTTGAGAATTCTAGTTTCCTGACTATCGTGCTAATGCCTTTGTTTCAATACTGTCTGAGTTGCTGACCTGAAAACAAGTAAAGAGATACGAAATGATGACACTTTCTCCTGTACAGCATGCATGCTCTGGGTATTGACTTAAAATGACTGAAGAGTCAGGCAACTAACATTTTCAGAAGGAGGCCAGCAATGGCAGCCCCCATACTTCTCTCATGACAGAGTCTCTTTACTGGGGTGCGTGAGGCCACCACAAGCCATACATCAATGTCTGACCTTAAATTTTGCACCCCTGACCATTTTACCGGGGTCTGATTTTTTAGGTTACATGCAATGCATTAGTGTCTGGCCTCAACTTTTGTACCCATGACCATTTTAATAGGGTCTGTTTTTTTTAGGTCAGCTGTAGGATTGTTTAAAATTAGAATTAATGTTCCTATATGTGCTAAATAGATTAGTTAAAATATGTGTATATTCCCTTACTTCTAGGAGACATTTATTTCTTGGATGGCCATCGTATGTACCAATTCAGTACTGCAAAGAACAGAGTCATACAGGTGTTCAAAAGAAACAGATGGTTCAAATGCCTGAAGAAAGAGAACAAATAAGATTCACAGCTGGGATTAATTCTTCAGATCTATGCATTTCTGAGTGCAACATGTATGTTAACACTTGAATATAATCATAAAAATATGCAGTACCATTTGGTGTTTGTATATTTAAATAAAGTGAAGCTCTGCTATTGTTTGAATTGGCTTTAATGCAGATTCTTACCTGCTTGTGGTGTTGAATGACTGGGTCTACCCACTATATTCACATTATTATATTAACCCCAATGTAGCAATAGCAGAAATATTGCAGAGAAATTAAGGGTGTCAATCAGGTAAGTTTTGTCCTTGTTGAAATGTAACCTTAAAGTACTGTATATGTAAACCCAAATGTTAGAACTCAGTCTTAACATGATAATGTAATTTCAAAAGTCAGTTCTAATATCTTGAAAAGTGCAGCCATCACTTAAATAATCCCTTGTGATCCTGCATTGAAGGTTCTTGTTCAGGCACTTCCTTTTATAGGGTCACAACACTCTGTACCTGTCTCCCAATTATGGTCCTTTCCAATGTCACTAGGGTCACACAGGCTTACAATAGAGTCTACGAGCTGACTTTTCAACACATATTACAGAAATATTACACAGGTCTTAAAAAAAAGTTATTAAAGTTTTTCATGCTTTAGCAAACTAAATAAAAAAAAACTAAAAACATATACCTTAATTCCTGTTCTATCTGGCATCCATGACTTGAATAGGCAGAGAGGGGAAATCATCCCAATGGGGACACATGGCGGAAAACAAATCCTGACAGAGGTTTAAAACCATTCCCTACTCTAACAAAATGCTTTTAGGGGTCCATTTCTACTATATGTGGGTCAGAAGTGTGCTTTGGCCCTTCCTAATGTCTTCTAAACCTGAATGTGGCTTGCTTTTATCACTGTCAATGTATGCACAACAAATAAGTGTTTTCACTAGGTCAGTAGTTGAATAAGGAGAGGTAAATTGTATTGCACAGGAGCCCTTGTGATTCTGTCCCTACTATACTCATAACCAAAAAAAATAGTCTGGAGTTGGGCTCTACAGCTTAGTTGTGACCAGGGCAGCCATTAGAAATTTTGGGGCCCTGTACACAGCTTTACAAGATTTCATATCAGCATGCAGAGCTGTATGCTGGTGTGATTTTTTTAGTCAAAGGGGGTAAAGGTCTGCTTTATGTTTAGATATAAATAAAGCTTTCTATTCTTGTTGGTATTAGATACAAGGAAAGGGATGGTTTACCAGGAACAATATCATTCTATTAGTGTTGTGGCGATGCTGGATACCGCACTTCCTTACATAAAAATAGCATCTCCGAGTTTATGCCGTACATCTGGATAACATGTTGCAATAACAAGTGAGTAAATAAACACAAAACACACAATGACGCCAGCATATCCTAGACAGCAACCTCACGGTGTTCTTCTTGGAATTCTATGTAGTTGCTGCTTGTAGGGTGAGGAGCATTGGGGCTTACCATGAGTGTAATTATTACCAGTTACCCCGGATAGAGTATTAATATTTTCCAAACAATTTATACATTTTGGACTCCAGAAACCGTCATTCCTTCCTAGGATGGGAAATACTGTGCATGCATTATATTGCTAAGCTCTGACTGTTTTTTCAAAATTACTCCTTTCTATCAAAAATAGGAACAGTAGAACAGATATAACAGTGTAAATGTATGTGACCATTTAGTGGATATTTTATACCAGAACAGATATAATAGTGTATATGTGTATGACCATTTAGTGGATATTTTATACCAGAACACATATAATAGTACATATCTGTATGACCATTTATTGGATATTTTGTTATGAATATTCTCGTTATGCTTTCTTTTACTGGTTGCGTACTAACCACCAACTCAAACTACACTTAAAGTGACATTAAACCCTCAGATTTTTTAACATAAAACAATACTGTAATGTGTGCCTTACTGTAATCCATGGTTGTTTCCCTTCTCTTTGCTGCTCTTCCTTTTAAATCCTCATGTCTTCTCATGCTTGGGGAGAACTTCCCTTTGCAGCTGAGTGCCTCTTCCTGTAGTGCTGGCTCAGGTTGCAAACGTACACACAGACACCATGTAGCCATTCCGGAGACGAGGCAGTCTGCTGCAAAACAGAAGTTCTGCCCAGCATGAGAACAGATACAGATTTAAAAGGAAGAGCAGCAAAGAGAAGGGAAACAACCATGGATTACAGTAAGGCACACATTACAGTATTGGTTTATGTTAAAAAATCTGAGGGTTTAATGTCACTTTAACATATATTTATACTGTAAAAATAAATATAATAATATTTGGATAACTTGGTATTACCATTGTGTCTTGAATTGTATTGTGATTGTAATGTCTTCCTTATATTGTAAAGCGCTGTGCAAACTGTTGGCGCGATATAAATCCTGTATAATTAATAATAATATTAATAATTATGGGGCATGTAGGCTAACCACACTTAGATTGTAAAAACAAAGAAAGGAATGACTTTCCTACACTGCAGATGGAAAGCTAACATTAAGTACATACTGTAATTGGTATCGGAGAGAGCAATGATAATATTGTGTCAGGGGTTGGTAAAAAAATGCAGAAAGGTTTCTTGGAAAGGTCAAATAGAATATGCCATAAAGAAACTAAACTATTTTTATTTAATTTCAACAGAAATATGTTTTCCTTCATATTATGAAATATGTTGGGTCCAGGTTACCTATATGTGTCTAGTTCCATTAAAATGGAAGGTCCACTTTATGAAAAAAGCTCCCCACTCCCCACAATCAGATCGCCTACAAAGATGTTTTAAAAAGAAGCTGTTAACTACTCGAGTCCTCGGACATTTTTCTCTCTAAATCCCCTGACTACGCTTTTTTTTTTGCTTGTCTTGGTGATGTCTCAGCTCTGCACATGATACTTTTTAGCGTTTGCAGTCTTGCATGACGTATTATACATTGTTTATTTTGGAGCAGATAGGACTTTATTTGGTAGCAAAGTTGGATAGATTTTTATTTTCTTGGCTTTATTGGGAATAAGATGTAAAGAAATGAAAACAATCTATTCCCTGTAATTTTTCCCAAAGCAATGTTTATGTAAATGTGTGCACCCCCCATATACTTACCCCAAACTATAATCAACAAAGTCTGGTAATCAAAACCCTATCGCAACAGTGCAACTTTTATGTAGTGCAGTGGTATGCATTTTACTAAGGGAGCTTTATTCCCCTTTTGACGCTACAGTGCAATGCACAGGGGAAAACAATTAGCATAAATTGTTAGCATAAAATTAAGATATGATTATGTCGGGAGGATGAGGGCACAATTTAGCACAGTGGTGACTTTTTCACAAGTTTGTGGTCTTTGTGGTTTCCACTAACCAGATCCAGACCCCCCCACCCCCTCCCCCCATTCAGCGCTGCAGCAGCAGATCACTTCTTATGGTGAACTGTTGCTGGCTGCAAACATTCAGCAATAAGTCACTATAGCAATAATCTACTACTGTATGGAGAGGCTGGACAAACCTGAAACAGCTCTTCCTGACCCTCTGTTCTAACAGAAAATGCCATGATGTCACTCAAATCTCTACTCTCCCAATGCAAACACAGAGTGGAAGCTTCAGAGGTCCAGTGGTTGATTGTTTCAGCTCCTGAGCTTAGTGCTGGACCCTGGCTCTCACTTGCATGTTAAAGTTGACTTAGTGATTGGAATTACACACATTATTTATATATATATACATATACAGTATATATATTATTTAAAGGTTGTGATGCAAGTGATCTTACATTTAGCACCGACAAACAGTGTCTTAGAGGGCCTAAGCCTCTCTTGTGCGATCCATTCCCCTCTCTGCCACAGCAGACAGTGCAGAATGTGAAATACAGTATATTGCTTTAAATCCTTGGTTCTCAACTGGTGGGTCATGACCCAAAAGTGGGTTGCGAACCCATGTTCAAGTGGTCACCACGTGCCTTCCACTTTTCTAGGTGAGAGGCTCCTCAGCCTTCCCCTAGCGCAGCACTGTCAGTTCCCACGCCAAGCAGCCATTCATATGCTGTGCGGTGCCGAGTGTCAGCTTGGGGTGGGCTGGAGCTATGGCTGCGAGGGAGCTCCATCCATACATGCATTGGTAACAGCATGTCTTGTAGAGGTACTTTGACCGGAGTTATATCACGTTCTGGTTCCCGTCACCTCTACAGGGCACACAAGTGAGTTGTATAAGCAATGCACCCATGGATGGAGCTCCCTCACAGCACAGCAGCCCACAATGGACCCCAGGCTGAGGATCCACTCAATTTCTCGTAATGTAGGGAGACTGGGTGTCTGTCAGTGTTTTTGAGAGCCCGTTCACACTAATACAGTGTGTTCAGCGAACAGCCCTGTGCGAATAACGCAATGTACCATACAATTGCACTCACTACATGTTCTGGTGTGGGAGGTGCGTCGCCATTCATTTGAATGGCACCCCAAACACACCTCTTGCCCAAAGTTCAATCGCCCACACCAGAACGCGTGATACTCCAATGCTGTGCGTTCCAGTGCAGTGCGACTTGGGTCGCGACTTAATGACCAAGGACAAAGATGGGTCCTGAGGTTACACAGGTTGAGAACCACTGCTTTAAATTATATGATAGTAATAGATTGCATTGGCCTTATTAAAGCTTCTAAAAGCATTAAAGATGTTAACAAACTGCTTATAACTTACGATTGTCAGCAACTCAACAAAAAAACTGGTTTCCTTTATGTTTGTGCACTTTTACAAAGCGTATCTTGTCATTATTATTATAATAGAATTAAAGAAAGAATAAAAGAATTTGCCCCATAAAGTGGCAAGTTGGCAAACAGATTGTATGCGACCCTGATACATTCACACATATTCTGATACCATAAAATAGAGCAGCCATGGAATCTGCCTAATGTGTGATGGCAGCAGCTCAAATCACATATTTATGTTGGCACAGATCTTAGTCACAGAAAGCTAAAGATTGAAACTTCGTAGCCAAAATGCCAGTGGCTTGTGTAGTTTAGTCGCGT